ACCTCCTTATGATCTACCTCTCACAATTGAAGGATTAACAAAACATCTTAACTATAAAAAAAAAATATTACTATTTGTTTGACTTTTTACTAATAATAAATCACTATAGAAACTAAGAGAAATAGATGAGTTAATGAAAAATAAGACAAAAATTATAAAACAAAAAAAAAGAAGTAAAACAAAAAAAAAGAAGAAACTGCTCAAAAGTGAGCAAACTGTAAAATAAAAAAAAATATAAAAGAAAACTGAAAATATATGAAAAAAGAGGAATAAATAAGAAAAATAATAATAATAATACAAGCTAATTTATTTGATAAGTTATAAAATTATATAATAATATGTTTATTTTTAATTTAATGATCTATATTATTTAATTATATTATTATTCAAAGTTAAAATATTAATTTTCTAAGTAGTTTTGTATAGCTTTTAAATAAAATATAGATATTTTTTGATTTTTATAAGATAAATTATATTTATATTATTTTAATAAATTTTAAAAACAAATGATTTTTTTTTAAAAAATTTATTAATAATAATTTTTAATTTTATTATAATATTTTTCTTTTTCTTAGAAATATTAATTATTATTATAAATAAATATTTGAAAAATTATATATTATTTATAATGAAATTTAATAAATATAAAATTAAAAATATTTTAGTTATTATTAAATAAACTTTTAATTCTAACTAAATATTATAAATTATATTTATAATTAAAATTATAACTTATATTTAAAGCTATAAATTAGTATATAATATTATATGTTAATTTCAAATTAAACTTGAATTAAATTTAAACTTATATAACAATTTAGTTCAAGTTTAGTTTGAACTTCAAATTTTTTTTGAATTCAAGCTAAAATCTGACTCAAATTCAATTCAAATTCAAATCAAACTTGAATTTAAACAAAAGTTCAATACAGTTCAATTTATAGAAATATTATTAGAAATATAATTTATAATTTATATATATTAAATTTAAATTATATTTAAATCAAATTTTGAATTGGATTAAATTTTCAAATTGAATTTCAAGTTTAGTTCAAGCTTGAACTAAATTAAACTTAAACTAAACCAAACTTTTTTCAGAATTTTAACTTTTATAAATAATTTATTACAAGTAATTTATTATAATTAATTTACTATAAGCAAGCAATTTATTATAAAACAATTTATTATAAATAATTTACTATTACAAAAATTTGTTACAAATAATTATAAATCAGATTTGATTGATTAAAAATATCAAATTCTTATTAAATAATATTTTATTATATTTTTATTAAATAATTGAGTTTTTATATTTTATTAAATTATTATAATTTTTATATTATTAATTAAACTATTTTTAGAATTTTAATTCAAATTTTAATTCAAATTTTTATATAAATTTTTATTTAAATTTTGTTTCAAATTTCAGTTTGAATTTTTATTTTTGATTCAAATTTTTATTTGAATTTTAGTTCAAATTTCAATTCAAAATTTGATTCAACTTTTATTTTTAATATTTATCAATTATTTATAAAAAAGCATATATTTTAACTTAGAAATAATCAGTCAAGTTCTCTAACAAGTTCTTTTAAGATAACAAAAATTCTTTAATAAAATCAATAAACAAATATAATATTAACTTAATTTCTTTTATTGTTTTACTTTAGTATATTTAGTTTTTATTTAGTTTTATTTAGTTTTGAATTTAGTTTTATTTTAATAATTTATTTTAGTTTGTTTATGATCTCTCATCTTAATTGCAAAGTCATATTTATTTTAGTTTGTTTATGATTTCTCATCTTTATTGCAAAATTATATTTGTTTAATTTATTGATGATCTCTCATCTTAATTGCAAAATTATATCGAATTAATTTGATACAACAAAAAATAATATAAATAGTACTTTATAATGTTAAGCGAAGCTTATTCTTGAATAACCCGAGACCTTCGGTTTATCGAACTTTAACTGTATCCAGCTGCAAGTGACGTTAATACTATAAAGATCGGTCTCTGTTGATTGCTTCTCTCCAAGAATTTCTCGTGCAATATAGGGAATAACACCATATTTATTATTATATCTGAAAAACACTGTTCTGAATTCTGTAGTTTCTTTTCGAATTTTAATGACATTTATTATCATTATATGAACATATCATAGTTATACACAATGACAGGTTTTCTAGTTGATCAGTTTAATAGTTTTCTTTAAACTAAATAGTTTCACAAGGTTAACACTAATCGTAATCAAAGATTTTTATGAATAATTTGTGTTTCGGTACGAAATTCATCCGATTGAAATGCAATTCATCACTGCTTCTTCGTTATCAGAATCCTCGAGTTCTTCGTCACTTGAATTTCTATTTTCAAACATAAATAAATAATTGTTTACTCGAACAGATCAATATGCGAATTTTGAGAACTATAATTTTATTGATGAAGAATCTTCTTTCACTATGAGGAATTATTCAGGGAAGAATGCAGTGTTTTACAAGATTTATTAAAGTCGATCGCTAATAATATTTCTAAACGTATTTGTTTGTATTTTTGCGAATTTTATTACATCATTGATTAATTAGCTGTTTTGTAATTGTTCTCCTGTCCATTGTTTCGTTCTCTATCTGACTTTGATAACTTCAATGTAACCTCAACTAATACTCTTTGGTATATCCGATAGAAAACATAATGCATTACGGCGTAATATAAATCTCTAATTGGAAAATGGTGAATGATTCGAAAGGTTTTTGATATTAACAGGATTACTGTCATAGAAAACATGCAATACAAATAGGAAAACTCTAACGCTAAATATAGTGCAGCGCCATATGATTGGTACTTACCTTATCTTTCATTATGCATAAGAATCTATATTGATATATTACTAATAATATCTTCCTTTGTTTGTTACATTTAATCTTATCTTATCTGATTAATATACATTCGTGTAATTAATGTTATCTTATCTGATTAATATACATTCATTATGTGAATTAATTTTATCTTGATGTACGTACATTCCGGTGCTACATCGTGGTATTCATCTTTCTTCACTTAATAAACCAGGTTGCTGATTAGAAAGAGTTATTTGTCGTCCTTTGGCTGAATTGGTATCACTCCATCAGGTTCTATTAATCGGTATCGTTGAATTAAATACTACAACACCTCAATTAAATTGTGGCATGCACAATTGCAACAGAGCAGGATGACAGTGTCAAAAACTTTATAAAGCAATATTTTTGGTTTTTGTTTGTCCTGATTTGTTAAATAAGCTCTCCACATAAAAAAATCATTTTCTCAATTAGCACTTTTAAGATGTCTAATTCCGTCGTCAGTACTAATTACGACTATTTAAACTATAACGAGTGGCTAGTTTTAAATAAATGCCCATACAAATTAACTCTTTCTATTGAAGAATTAACTAAACCAGCTGTAAAAAAACGGGATAAATCACCACGCCCACAAAACAGCTGGATAATTTTTCGAAGAGATCACGAAGCGCATTTACGTTTATGTAATCAACATGTCAAACTAAACGTCAAAGAAACAGCAAAGGAATGTAGTTTAAAGTGGAAAATGTTATCAAGCGAGGTTAAATATTTCTTTAAAATATTAGAGAAGATAGCTTGCAAGAATCACCAAAATTTATATCCTGATTATAAGTATAAGCCAAAAAATGCAAAAGATTCAAAGAATAAGGGATGGACTTTTCGTGAAGAAAAGAAATACGCGTTTGTTCCGCTATCCAACTCTAGCCCAATGAGTAATAACTCACCTCTTCAAACAACCAATGATAGTGGAAATTCGATCAACGACACGTTTAACGAAATAACTTCATTGGGTCAATTAGATTTCTCTTTTAACGTTGATAATAATCATCAACAATTTTCTTTCTTATTTGAAAATGATGGTGATGGTAAGGTCTCTTTACCGCCAAACCAATTCATTACTAATAATCCAACAACAATATCATCACCATCACCCTTGTCGGAATCACAGTCACTCTTACAACTATTTATCCTAGGAAATTATCAATTTGAAGATTTGTTAGATGATAACTTGTCTTTTTTCTAACTAATTAGATAAATTTATCAAATTAGATAATTTCAAAACCCCACTATAAACATAAATAAGCAAATATAAATCCCTCTCGACAATCATATTCTGATCATTCCTCGCGTGTTTCATTACTTTTATTTATCCGTTTTATTCTTTCGTTTAATTTATTAGTTTGTTGTATCCGTTTTATTCTTTCGTTTAGTTGGTTAGTTTGTTTTTTCATTTGGATCGTTCTGTTCCACCTTCTAGTTCTTTAGGTGCTTATATTTATTTAATAAGTTTTACCATGCAAATTAGTCGTAAGATTTCCGTATTCAAAGCAATTTTTAAAAATAATTCGTGTTTCAAATTCATCCGATTTATCGCCGCTTTCTTCGTTATTAGTTCTTCGTCGCTTAAATTTTCAATCCGAATTACTTCAAAAGATCAATTATAAATTGTATGCACGCTAAATAGTTGATCATTGTTTATCGTCTGAAATATAAATAAAGCATGTGTTTTTGCGTTTTTGTGAATATCGATATACTCTATGTAGTTTTGTTGTTTGTAACATATTTATGCATGGCATAATCTTTAATCAAAGAAATAAGATATTCATTCTTTTGTTTGGTAAGATGGTTTATTGCCCGAAAGCATTTAAATCAGGAGAATCCAAAATAAAAGCACAATTTAATCTTGCCCTCTGTTATGAAATGGAAAAGAATATTCGAAGCTGAACAAGCATTTGAATTAGCAGAGGCTGGATTTCCTCAAACACAACATATTATTATAATAAATAAATGGCTTGTATATATTATTATTATTATTTATTGATGCTATGGTTCAAGTAATTTATACTCAACAATTTGTTTCAATCTCTAAATCTTTCAACTCAATGTAGAAACAAAATTTGACCGGTAACTTTGTTCTTTATGATAAAGTTACCGGTCAAATTTGAAAATTTTGTCTCTACATTGAGTTGAATGCTTTTAAAAATTGTTGAGTATAGATTACTTGAACCATATCATCATCATCGTTATCATCTAATTATATTATGCTAAAATTGTCCTTCGTGACTGGGAACAAATAGATTTCATGTATGTGTATTCGTTACTTTGAAATATACAACTCGAAATTTCATTAACGTTAATAAAAATATAATAACTACGAGTACAGGTGATCAACAACACTGATGTTATGAAACATGAAACACTAGAGATAGGAAAAGAATTCCGCCTAAAGGTTTCCTGACCTGTGCTAGTGGATTTCCTAGACGTATCCACTCACGAAAACACTAGGATACTTACCCTTTCTACCTGTGGACTCCATTGGAAATATAGTGTAGCACTGTATGATTAATACATTTAACAAATTTACTAAGTTAGTTGAATAGAGATATCGATAGACATGTACAGTACCCCCAAAAAGTATCGCCCGGGTGTTACTTTGGGGGTACTGTACATGTAATACGTATTAAGCATAAATAAGCCGATATACCGATAGACAGATTCCCTCGACAATCGTAAATTAATTATTCCGATCATTCTCTGTTTTTTTTTCATTTGGATCGTTCTTTCGTTCCATCTTTTAATTCTTTTTGTGTAATAGATAGATAAATAAATGCGAGATTCTAATTTTTCATAATCATAAAAATTACCGTTTCTAATATTAAAAATCTATACGAAAGTCAAAGTCATTTCAATTCGAAAGTTGCGACACATTTGAAAAGAACTAAATGATGGCTATAAAAGATGGCGTTTTTCTCGAACAATGGAGTTCTAATGAAGAAAAGTCAATAGATTTAACGGTTTGACTAGCTGTCTTTTTGAAGACTTTGCGAGATGACATTAGAGGCGTGGATCTCTGCACGCTAATTGGCAAGGCTTAGGGTCATAACCAACTTGGGCTGAGTGTACATACCTATGATCGCGTTTGTGTGTTGCACATGTATTTATTCTTACCTATTGTCATCTAAATAAATATACTGTATCTGTGTACCGATACGAGTTGCAAAACGCAAAACTTTGTTTTGTCAAATCTGAAAAAGTTAAATCTTTTACTAACTAAACAAAATTCACGCAAATACGCCCAATGACTGGACCCGATTCTAAAACCTTTATCCAGATTCATAGTCACGAACTTGAAAGAATAGAGGTCAAAATCAATTAATAGGTAAATGTGAATAAATAATATAAATCGCATTTATTCAAGATTATATTGTATACAATTATTTAGATACATAATATAGAAATTCAAGTGACGAAAAATTTGAGGATTCTAATACGGATTTAATTATATTTCAATCGAATGAATTTCGTGCCGAAACACGAATTATTCATAAAAAATAACTTGATTACGGAAACTTTAAGACTAATTTTGCAGGGTGAAACTACTTGGTTTAAACTATTAAGCTGATCAACTGGAAAAGTAGTTTTATAACTTAAGAATTATTATAATATAATAAATGTCTTTAAAATTCGAAAAGAAGAAAAAACAACAGAATTCAGAAAAATGTTTTCAGCTTATTAAAAATGCATACGAGAATAAACAAAATATATGACCAATTGATGCCCCATATAATAATAAATTGTATGGTGTTATTCACTATATTGCTCCAGAAATTCTTCTTGGAGAGCTTGCAGCTGGACAAAAACCACTTGCTGAGAGAAAATATGACGACACAATAACAATGGATATTTGTAATGGAGTAGACCAAAGGAAATTAGTTATTCTTTCACCATTCATAATATCGATTTTAAAAAATTCGTCTGGATCTTTTGAAATACCAAATGTATCAGTTACACTGCTTGATTTGTAATATTAAAGAAATTTTTTTTATAGAATTTGTTTTCAAAATGAGAAATAACGACCTACGTTTTCCAAGCTTTTAGCGCTACTTTTATTGGCCCACTACGAGACCAAGTGTTTTCGTCCCAATCCCATTTAGGACCCTCTAACCAAATAGCAGAATAAATTTCACTAAATGTGAAATTCAACCAGTTCAACTTGGTCGTGATGAATATATTCAAGATAATCGCCACTTCGGCTTGGCTTTTTTGTATAATTGAATCAAGTTGCAAATGTTCGGTTGTCCAACTTGAATATTTTTCCTTAAACTAAGTAGTTTCAAATTGTTGGCACCATGCAAAATTAGTCCCAAAGTTGACGCAATCAAAGCATTTTTTATGAATAATTCGTGTTTCGTCACGAAATTCATACGATTGAAGTAAAATTGAATCCAATTCAATTCATCACCGCTTTCTTCGTCATTAGAATCCTCGAGTTCTTCGTCACTTAAATTAAATTGAAAATTGCCAGTTTTCCAGCTTCGAATTAGTCCGTAATCAAAGCCATTTATAAAGTTCTTCAACGATACAGTTTAGTCCGTAATCAAAGCCATTTATAAAGTTCTTCAACGATACAGTTTATCTTATTTGGAATAATTAATGAACACCATATGTATCAAAGTATTTGTAATGCCAAATGGCATCCATCGGCACTGCCTGATTAGGGTTAACCATGATGTGTATACGTATATCTAATTGAAAATTACCAGTTGTCCTGTTTGAATACTAATTACAGTAACACTCTTTACAATACAGTAACGCTATCAGCCTGGAACAGAATTTCTCTAATATATATATATATATATACATGTATATATATAATGTACTGTATCGGAGATAATAGCATTTGGATATGCTAACCTCAAAGTGCCCCGATCACATTATTGTAACCAGAATTGATTGTAGTTTCACAAGGTTGACACCATACAAAATTAGTCCCAAAGTTTCCGCGATCAAAGCAGTTTTTATAGATGGAATAGGGGGTATTTGAGTGACATTTGAAATTAGCAGAGGCTGGATTTCCTCAAACACAACACAATTTTTCTCACTATTATAATGAATAAATGATTGCAGCACGCGTAATAATTTGTGCTCGGTTCCTGATAACATGCACATGACAAACCAATAAGAATGTGCAAATTTTTTGATCAGGCTGGCAAAACAAATCCGACACAAAAAAAAATGGAAAACGTGAAAATGTGAAAAATATGGGAAACAGATGTCTAGATATAACTTGAAGCTCTAATAAATAATCTCGGGGAGACAATTTTACATATAAATTTGTCCTCCACTCTAACCCTAACCCAAACGATAAAATCAACCTTTAATGGTTGCCGGCAAACATATGATTTGCGCATTATTATTGGTTTGTTATCATGTGATCGCGAACCGAGCACAGATTGTACGTAATTAAGACAGCACCATATGGTAACATTTGCATATATTATTATTATCGTTATTATTATTATTATCGTTACGCCAATAAAAAACTACTTTAAAATACTACTAGTATTATTTCTTAACAACAAAAATTGTTACCTATTTTTATCCTTATTGACAAGTTAGTGACAGTTTAAATTAGTGCTCTTTAGACTGTCTGCATTGTATAATCTAATTATTATACACGTATTGTATTCGTACTTTGAAACATATAATGAATAAATGATTCCTTGGCTGGCATTGGGATGGGAATATAATGCAACACCATATGATTGACACACATGGCATATCGATATCGATATTTGTATACATTATTATCGTTATGATTAATTTCTTTATTAGTTTGAAAATGATGATGGTAATGTCTCTTCACTGCAAAATTAATAATTCAATCACCCTGGTCAGAATAATAGCGACTTTCGCTATTTATCACAGAAAATGATTTTTTATGATAACTTCATTTCTGTTTTTTCACTTGTACTTTCGTTCTATCTTTTAATTCTTTACTGATTATTTCAATTCAGAGAATGGGTCGATTTTTTCAATCGTATTTGTAATTCAGAATTTTCTGTAATAGACAAATGCGAGATTCTAATTTTTCATAATCATAAAAATTTCGTTTCTAATATTATTACTAAAAATCTATCGAAAGTTGCGAAGTTCCAAATTTTCGATTAAATTTATCGACACATTTGAAAAATATCACGCGAATAAATGTTGGGACACTATTCCATAAACAAATTGTTTTTTTCATATCGATATTAGAATTATTAGTGTACATTCATAATTTATAGGTTCCATTCTTTACCGGTATGTAGATAATCTTCCCATTTAACTAGTACAGTTAATGGCGGTGAGATTGTTATGTAAATTTTACTATGATACTAGCATTTTTTATAGAAGCAAAATATATAAATAAAGTGCTAGATTTCTAGCAAGATAATACCAATTAAAAAAATAAAATGTGAAAATCTAATAGGCAAGTCATTTTCGCGATTGCAGGTTTGTAAAATTTTCGAAACTTATTTTCTCAATAACCAATGATCAGAATTTTATAATTTTGATCTTATTAAATTCACCTCAATAAGACGAACATTTTGATAGTAATTTCATTTTAATCAAATAATATTTGTCAAATTATTGCGGTTTTTAGTTTTTTTTTTAGTTAAAAAACGTTCAAGTTACAAAATTTTTAGACTATTCAAACTTGCATTGATATAGAAAGAGATCACATCAAGTACTGATATTTTAGGGACATACCGTAAAGCGCTCTTTATAATATCCCCCCTTGTAAAAATTTGAACCACAATTTGGTTCAATTTTTTTTTAGTAAATTCAATTATTTTTTATGTAAATAATTAAATTAGATTTCACTATGCGATTTTTTAAGAAATTTAGTTATTGGTTTAACAGTCTTGAGGTTAAATTGAGGTTTAAATTTTATACAAAGGGGGATACTATACAGAGCGCTTTACGGTAATGCCCTACTCAAAGGCACTATCAAAATATTTTTTTAAATTTTATTATATAATTGAATGAAATATAATAAAAAACCGGCCGCCATTACTTTCCCCCAGAACTGTATGATGTAATTCCAATATGACTTTGGATAATTCATAAGTTAGTTGTCAAAAAATGCCATATCACAAGTATGTGTTTGGCTCTTTGATACCTTTTTGATAAGTCAAGCCAATGTTCACTTAGATATTTTTGTTGCTTATAGATTTAAAAGCAGAATTATCATTTTTATCATTTTTAAGATTAAATGGCAATAAATTTGTTACTAACCATTCAGCTATAACATGATGCGGTTCATTTTGTTTGACTGGTTTGTGAAATCATTTGGAAGTAAGCATCTGATCAATTTGTTGTTGAGGTGATGGCACAATCACATTCTCATTCTCAAATTTATTTCTGTCATATTATGCTTATTGTACAAATCTTCTGATCTTTTGAAATATCTTCTAAAAAGATCTGTTTCGTTAGCATTGTTTGTTATAGTTGCAAAAAAAGCGCAGAAGAATTTATTTATAAAACGCAAAATTTATATTAGTAATTGATATTTTGTATAACAGACATACAGTCAACTCTCTCTAAATGCAACCTTCATAAGTGCATGTACACACTCTCTAAATGTACGCTTCCTAGCTTATAAGATCTTTAAATATACTACTCTTCATAAATGAAATCTCTCTCTAATGCATACCCAGTCATATGGTCCCGAGCATTACTCGGATACACAGGTAACCTGTAAGTTAAGTTGGATCCGGATCCAATCTCAATAATGAAACTTGCATCTCCGCACAGAAAACTTTCATGGAACCTTCGTAGGGTCTGTGTTACCTACGCAGGTTTTTGCATGCTGCGAGAATTCGTTTTAAAAGTTACAGTGATATCACATTACATATCATATTGGAGTGTGCTGAATTATGTGGTATATTTCGGGCTGTTAACACAAGGTCCAATATCTAATGATGTCTTTTTGAAATTACCTTATTCCTCCGAATGTGAGCACCACTTTTTCAAGGAAAAAAACGTACGGGTGCTTATATTCAAAAGAATTTTTAATCTTCCGATGGACAAAATCAAAATTAGGTCATTTGCTATTTGACAAATGACTTTTGGTCACTAAATTTTGATATTAAAATAAGGTCATTTAGTAGGTCACTGTCCAACACTGGTGACAGTTACTCACTAGTGAATAGAAATGATGACTCAGCTAAAGAATTAGAAGAGGAAGAGTCAAACAAAAGTGATAATAATAGTAAACTTGGAAGAGAAGAAAATTGCATTGAAACATAATAAACAGCATTAGATTTATTTTTGAGATTTCAGTGCTTCCTTCCAATCCAATTTAAATTAAGAATAGCATTATTCGCAGCAAATAAATTCGTTGATTGGACAAAAATCTGAGCGTCTAATTAACATATCTTCTATAATAATATGATATATTTTTTCGTTTCAATGCTATTTTTCATGCTCTGATGGTAATTAACTGACGAAACTCACGAAACTCACTTATCAGTAATGGTGGAATCAGCCGAAAGACTAGATTACGTAATAAACGTACACACAATTCATATTTTTTTGGTAAAACCTTGACGTAACAATCACGTAAATGTAAGATCGTCACGATTTACCGTTACGTAATTACATGTTAATTGAACTGGAAGATTTTCTCTTATATTTGAGTATTTATAAATACAATCAAAATCAAAACCAGATAATATTATAAGTCGCATTTATTCTTGAATACACCCACAACTAAAATGTCATTTCAAACCAACCATTATACGTTACAATTCGCAATTGTATTTGCTATGTTTCTATTATGGCTCATGACATTGATACCAATTCGTATCGCACAATCAAGAATGCTTGGTGGCTTAGATAATAGGAATCCAAGAGAACAATATCAAGAATTGGTAAGTTTACTTTTTTTATTTTGTAAGATTAATCATACGGATATTTATTATTATTTGATTTGTTAATATATAGCCAGAATGGGGTCAACGAGCAATAGGCGTGAATAACAATACTTTTGAGGCTTTCTGTTTCCTCTCGGTGGCTGTGTTTACACAAGCATTTTCCGAGCTATTGGGAAATCCACAAACGGAGAACGTAGTGCGTGCTGTTGATGCATTTTGTATCATATTTCTTGTTTTGAGATTGGTAAATAACTTTGATTTCTTGCTGAATTTTTTAGAATGAATTGAATATTGACTGATGAATTTGTCTTTTTAGATTTATCCGTTTTTGTATTACTATAATTTTGCGCTATTTCGAACTTTTATCTGGAGTTTGAGTATTTTTTGCGTTCTTGTGATATTTATTTTGGCGTTTGTTTAAGATTTCCTATCGAAAATTTATAATTTTATCAGCAATAAGATTTATAGCAAATTTTATAATTGTAAAATCATGTGATAAATAATTCTACCAAAATTAAGTTTTGCAAAAAATATTTAATATAATGACTTTTAATATCAAAATAATGAAGAAAATTGATGATAATCATTACTTTTCAGATGACCACCTATTTTTAGAGAGAAATAAGTCATGAACATTATATATATGATATGAACAAAACAAAAATATTGTTCAAACTTAAAGATTTTGACAAAGATAGTAATTTCAATAATTAAAATTATTATCAAAATTCCAAAAATTCCAAAAAAATTCAATGGTTAAAACTATTTATATTTAAAATATTAAAATTTCAATAAAAAATATTTATATTTAAATTATCAAAATTCAAAATTAAAATAATTAAAAATATTTTGTTATCAATATATTATAAATAAAAAAATTTAATTATATTGTTACTGTTTTGAGCTTTTGCGTATGAAAGTATTTCAAAATGGCAATAGTGACTGTGTTCATGACAATTTACTTTGAATATTATGATTAAATGGTGTTTATGACGATAAACGATGTTTCTTGACAAGATAAAAGATAATAAAAATAAGATTAAACTAATAACAAGACTAAACTAAAGGTAAACTTAACCAAAAAGTACTTATAATTCCAAAATAAAATCAATTTAAC